ACAGCACACCAAAATTTATACTGCATTTTTTGCCAGTATGACAAAAAATAGGTATAATTTTGATTCAGTTACACTGGATGGCTATTGATGTATTATTAGTTATCGTCATTTCTTTTTTATTTGGTGATCTAGGGAAGAGGCAAGTGTTTTTGACTAAGTAGTCAGATATTGCATGTTTTAAAAATTCTTGTGGTATATTGGATGAAAATCACTGCATTAGAGAATAGGGTATAAACACTATCACTGGTGGGAAGAGTAAAAACACACTTTTGAGTCATGTGAATATATTACTTATTGGAAAATTTAAGTGCCAAATTCTTTTTTAAGTTAACCTTTGAGTATCTTTGAATTACATATCATATAGTTCCTCATATTCAGATATTAAGTTCCTTATATAGTAGGTGCTTGACTGATGAGGTTACTTCCTCTGGACACAAATTATACAAGTTGGTATAATAAATATTAAATAATTTGCTTAAGGCAACAAAGAGCAATGAAGGGCTTGAGCTGACTGAACTGAGTTGCCTCTCTAACTCTCCATAACTGAGACCAAGAAGCTTGGGAAACTTTAGCCTTTAGATGCTGGAGAGAAGAGAAACTGGCAGTCAGTACAGATGCTTCATATGGTTTGTCTACTTGTGTTTACTTCTAGCCTCTTCCATCTCTGGCCTGTAATTAAGAGCAGGTAGATTCTATTTCTTAAGTTCATTTCTGAGACTGTCAACTGTGGTACTGAATTGTCTATGAATTCACTTCGTTCTATGTGGGGGAGCTCTACCCACAGAGCTCCCCCAGATGCTGCTGATGAGAATAAATCTACCAAGACATGATCTGCTTGGGGAGAAAGAGCTGACCAATCTTTCAGAAGAGAAGGGCCTTGAGCCTCTCTCTCAACGGGCTTTTGTTGAGTTTAACTTGCATAGGGATACATATCAAAGAAAGAAGGTATGGTTTACAGATAATATTTCTGGGATCATGGAGGTCCTCTTGAGTCAGGGTCTGGTAGACAGGGCGACGCCAATTGGTCATAAAACCTTGGGAAACAAACTCATTTTGTGCTTGGACCTTTGACTTTTAAATTGAGGACATTCTTAGCAAAGCAGGTTTCACACCATTGCATGCATTCTTTCCAGGTCTGATTGCCTCTGGGAACTGCCTGTTCCAGTACAGGGCTGTATCCCCCTCCGGCACTGTCTGGCAGGCCTGAATCAGAGGAGGGAAGCAAGGCAGCCAAGAGATTAGGAGACTTTTTACAGATAGAATAAGGATCCATGTTATGACAAAGCCAAGGCGTGAGGGTCTTTTATCCCTCCTCCACAGTCCCCCAAGTCCTTACCTGATCTTGGGTTTCCCTGAAGCCTGGCAGTAGCTTCTCCCAGAATGAGAGGTTCAAGAGAGAAAGACTCTAAAGTCACAATGTCTTTTAAAAGTTAGCCTCAGAACTTGAACAACAATTAAATTTTTAAAAAAGTTAGCCTCAGAAACCACATATATAATTTCTGCAATACCCTATTTTGTGGATTGATGATTGAATACGATTGTTTATTTAGTGTGGGAGTGGCATCCGTGCTAGGGCAGGAGCACCAGGAGGTGAAGCTCACGGTGCCATCTTGAAGGCTGGATATCACCATAAATACCACACAACTCAGTTCTATTTTGTTTTTTGCTCTTTATATAATGAATTATTTAGTGGCTAGTTTCCATGTCTTGCTCAATATTCTTTCCTACCCCCCACCCTTTGAAGTTCTCAAGGCACATTTCCATATTGTCAGTGTTATTTTTGAAAGATTCATTTATGTTGAGGTGTCTTAGTTCATTTGGGCTGTCATAACAAAATACTATAGACTGGGTGGTCTATAAAGAACAGAAATTTATTTATCACAATTCTCGAACTTGGGAAATCCAAGATCAAGTTACCAGCAGGTTCTGTCTGCTTCTTGGTTCACAGATAACTGTCTTCTCACTTGTCTTGACAGGGTAGAAGGTTTTAAAGATTTTATTTATTTATTTTCAGAGAGAGGGAAGGGAGAGAAACATCAATTGGTTGCCTTTTGACCACCCCTAACTGGGGACCTGGCCCTCAGCCCAGGCATATGCCCTGACTGGGGTCTAATTAGTAACTGTCTGGTTCCCAGGCCCGCGCTCAGTCCACTGAACCACACCAGCTAGGGTGAGGGATCTTTTTTATGCTGGCACTAAACCCATTCATGAGGATTCCAGCGCATGACCTAATCACTTCCCCCAAAACCCACCTCCAAATGCTAACACATTGGAGGTTATGATTCAACATATGCATGGGGGGGATATAAACATTCAGTCTATTGAACTATAGGTGACTGAAGTTCATTTTTGATACTCTATATTTTCTCACAATTTATGTACCCACCCATTCTACTCTTTATGCTATTACAAACAGTGTAGTGAGGAGTTTTCTCTGGTGTATGTATGCTTCGGGAACGTAGCTATGCTAGTTTGTACAGGACATGTCCATGTTCATCTTTTAAAGTAAAAAACCATTATTTAAAGTGATTGTACTCATCTATTTTTGCATAGCAGTGGATGAGAATTTCAATTGCTTTATATCATTGCCAAAGCTTAGTATTGTTCAATTTCTAATTTTTTGCCAATTCAATGGGCATGAAATAGTATTTCAATGTGGTTTTAAGATGCATTTCCCTAATTACTAATTAGGTGAACAGGTAACCATCATTATTACCTCTAAGATAAACCATCTAGTAATTCTTTCTTTTTAAACTTTTACTTATTTATTTTTAGAGAGGGGAAGGGAGGAAGAGATGGAGAGAAACATTAATGGGGGAGAGATAAATCATCGATCCATCGCCTCTTGTAGGCCTCCAACTAGAGACCGGGCCCTTAACCCTGGCATGTGACCTGACTAGGAATCAAACCAATGACCTTTGGTTCGCTCAATCCATTGAGGCACACAAGCCAGGGCCTGGATAGTAATTCTTATATGAGTTGACACTACTGTTTCTATGCCTGTTAGGCTCTGAAGTTTATGGGATAGGAATCCTAAATAGGAGCTGAGGAAGACTTCAGAGAGAACGTGGCATTTGAGCTGGGAAGACAGCATGGACAATACTTCCACAATGAGCATGTATATGGGTGGTGGAGTGAAGCTGTAATGGGTGGGATTGAAGAAAAAAACTTGTTATGGGAATTCCAGGCAGACGGAACTGCATAGGCAGGAAAGAGAGACAGTAGTTCATTTTGAGTGAGAGATATAGCTGGAAAGATAAGCAGTGGCCCGATTGTGCAAGGCCATGAATACCAAGCCGGGGACTTTGGACCTCATCCTGGGATAGCAGTGGAGGCTCTTGAACAGGATCTGAAGTTTGCTTCGGGAAGATCCCGTGGCTGCAGGCAGGCAGGGAACCCTACGGCTGCATCTGACTGCAGGGGTAATTGCGCTCCCACCTGCGTTGGGGCGGGCAGCCTGGCAAAACGCCCTCCCCACCCCCTCCCTGCTGTTGGGGTTCCGGACGCGACGCGCTCGGAACTCCTCTAGTCCTCCTGGACACGCCCCCCTCGGGCCTCCGCTACGCCGCCTAGGCCCTCGCCTCGCGCGGGCGCGTCACGTCCGCTGTGGCTCGAGGCTGGTTAAGGCCGAGGAGGGGCGCGAGCCGAAACTGCGCCTGCGTAGCAGGGTGGCAGTAGGGAGTTAATGCCCAGGGCCCTTTGGGGCTTTCGAGTCTCTATCAGCACCTTTCCGAGTCCGCGATGGTTATCTTCTCTCCCAGCACACTCATAGGTGTTTTGATTTGTCCCAAGAGGTATAGGCAAACGGCGCAGAGGCGCTCCATGCCTGCCCTGCAACACTCACTCCCCTTAGGCTTCTCAGCTAAGAAGCGTCCAGTCTCTGCAACATCCCTTCAGGTTCTTGCTCTCCGTCTGCAGCCAAAATGTCCCTACTAATGAAGGCCTGTCCCAGCCACTAAGCATGCCCATACCAGGCTGTAATTCTAGGGCATCTTTATTTACCTCTGCAGTCATATCAGAGCCTCGAGTTGAAGGGGACCTTGTAGGTCAAATCCAACCTAACCCTCCCCGACATCCCGAGTAAGTGAATGTACTTTTTTTGCACACCCCCAAAGACTGTTCATTTTCTGGAACAGCCCTATTAGGTAGTCTTCCTGGAAGTTTCCTACATTCAGCTTTTATCCTTTCAGAATTATTTATTGAGCACCTACTGTGACTCATGCAATGGAAGTTCTGGGGATACAATCATGAACTAGAGTGAACACAAAAGACAGTTGATCTCTTTGAGTTTGCATTCTACTTGGGATAGACCAACAACTAAAAAATAATGACAGGCCATGATTTATGCTACCAAGGAAATAAGACAATTATTTATGGTGGAAACATGTAAGTGGGAATGACTTAGAGTTATCAGAGAAGGCCTCTTGGAGGTGGTGACCTTTACACCCAGTCTGGTGTATAACCAGCCAAGTGAACTGTCAGGAGCAGAGTGAGTGAGTTCCAGACTGGGGTAACAGCAAAGCCCTTCAGTCAGAAATGAAGTTGGTGTTTGCTAGGAACAGAAAGCCAGTGTAATCAATGTGGTGAGCCAAGGTTGAGAACAGTGAAAAAAGATCAAGAATAAAAACAGGAGCCAAATACAGGCTTTGTGGGCCATGGTAAGAAGTTTGAAAAGAATAATGGGAAACAAAGGAGTGATCTGAAGCAGAATCTGATTTTACTTCAATTGTTTAGTACTGCACAAATATCATATGTTTCTTTTATCAGTCCTTTATATATTTGAAGATGGCTGACATGTTTTCCTCCCAGAGCCCTTCTCCTGCCCTCAACTCCTCTATAAACGATGGTTCCACAGAGGATTTATGAATGACTCCCAAAATGTCATTCTGAACACTTTGAAAACGAGGAAAAATTTTAAATGTAAATCATATGTGTACATTTTTAAAAGGAAAGGACTTTTATGAGATTCTCAAAGAGGTCTTGTAGAGATTTAAAAATACCATTTAAACGTTTCTCATCTCCGTGATCCTGGTTATTCTCTTCAATAGCAGGATACAATATCAATTTCAACTAAGGCTAGTTCTTCAAATTGTCTTCTTATCTGTGAAATGAAAACGATAGGATTGCTATGAGGATTAAATGAGATTATGCTCATAACGTGCTTAATGGTAAACCATAACCAGCCAGCCACACAGTGCCATCGTTACAAACACACACACCTGCATTCCTGGGGCAGGGGAACGATTCACAGTAGTGCTCCTTTAGCAGTCCACCGACCTTCACTAAGTGCCTATTCTGTATAGAGCTCCTGGTGAAAGAGATCTGCATTCCAAGAGTTTGTTACCTTGTTGAAAGAGTAGGTGTTAAACGAAACGTCCATGAGCGAAGTATTATGGGATTTGGAAGCTGCGGACGAAGTCTTCGGAGGTAAGTTATTGGAATTCATATTTGAAGTAAGTTTAAAAGATGAAGTGGGTATGATAGATGAACATATTGAATTTTAAATGCACACATAAAATCAATATTACACATCCACATTTTATTCTTGATGATTTGCAAAGACCGATTAGAAACATTGCAATTACTTCTATTACCCCGCAAATACTAAGCTACCTATCTTTTGTCCAGTCTGTTTACTAGGCACTGAATGCTCTGGGCAGTCCTTATCTTCCTGTTCAGAGCAAAGTACACACATACACACCCCTTTCCAAAAAGAAAAGCACTGGAGCTCTAAGAGAGCGGTGGGATCCTTCCCGGCCCAAGCACACAAAGGGGGACGTTTCATCCAAATGCCCCTGCCCCCCTTCCACCCCGAAAGCCCCACTCAGCCCACGGTTCGAGTTCTCCCAGCCCTTTTGCTCCTCCCTCGAAGCCCTTGGGGGCGGTCCACAGCCTCGCAGCGCAGCCTTGCCGCGCCTCGCACACTTGCACACTCGCACACTCTCGGTTCCCCCCGCCTTCGCTGGGGAGCCGGAAAACGCGGAGCGAACTGGCCCAGCCCTGCGGCGCATGCTCAGTAGCGAGCAGGTTCAGTTCGCTAGTAGGAAGCTCGAGCGCTACACCGGCGGCAGCCGCGGAGGCACCGGGGCAGCCAGATTCCCCACCAACGACCACCGGCCTTTCCCCTCCTTCCTAGACCCGGGCACCAGCTCCGCCCCGCTCGGGGTCGCTAGCACATCTCAGTCTCCGCTGCGCCGAACGTGCAGCCGGAGCGTCCCTCACACGCCCTCCCCCAACTGCCGGCTCCCCCGCGGGGCCAGGCCGGCCGGGAACGAAGTCCCGTTGGGCAACCGAGCAGGCGAGCGGCGGCCACAGCGGAGGGCAGCTCCGGTGGCACCGGGCGGGGGAAGGGGTGGGGGGCCCAGCCCCGGGGCGGTGGTGCGGGATGCCGCCGCCGCCTCCGGGCTGCGATCGCTCTCCGAGGCTGGTACCTGTGTCGGGTGGGTGGCCGGGCCCGGGCCTCGCCCCCCAGCCCACTCTCCAGGGCTAGCCCGGCAGCGCAGCACCCCAAGGGGGCCGGGCCGTGTGGTGGGGCCGCGGCCCTGTTCAGCGCAGCGAGCTCGCCCTCTCGCGGCTCCCGAGCCCAGCCGCCGCCGCCGCCCCCTCCCGGGCCAGAGGTACCGAGGGCACCATGCAGGCGCAGCAGCTGCCGTACGAGTTTTTCAGCGAGGAGAACGTGTCCAAGTGGCGGGGGCTGCTAGTGTCTGCGCTGAAAAAGGTGAGAGCTCGTGGGACCCGCTTCCCCACCGCAACCCTGATGAGGGCACCCGGCCGGGCTGGGGAGGCGGGGCGCGCGCGGGCCGTCTTTCTTCCCGGTCTTACAGCCTCCCAGAAAGGACGGCGCACTCGGAGCGGTTCCCCAACAATCGCTGGCCCTTGGTGTTGACATTCACCCGGTGTGTGGGAAGGCCGCAGGAAGCTAGGGAGAGTTTGTCCGAATAATACAATCACTGACAGGTTAATGCCCTCCCCCTGATTCACAGACCAGAGTTGGAGGAGCCTTAGTCTTCAGCGGAGGTCAGAGCAGGCCACTTTTCCGCCTTCTTGGTCTTACCCCGAAACTGCTGTCAGCCTCCGGTTTTAGGTGTCCAGTCTGTTCGTCTTAGTGGGCTCAAGAGTGCTCTGGCCATAATGCATGCTCTAAGTAATTGCAGGGCTCGCCTGCCAGCAGAAATATGGCCTGCTTTGCTCACCCTCTGTAATCACTGTCCACTGCCCCGAATTCCCCCACTCCGATTAACAGGGGCGGGGGCACATGCGCTTCTCTTCTTTCTAGAGTTTGAGAATCTTGGTATTATCATTCGGTTTGTGGGTTAGAAATTTTAACCTTTTGGTGTTTGTTCCAGTTTGCCACATTGTTATCTAGTCATAACACGATCTGTACTTTTTAAATGTTTTAGGAAACGTTGATACGTTTTAAAAGCTTCTAAAGCAACATTGTGACAAATATATTTAAACATCTTGAACTGGTCTGAATGAACATTAAAAATAACCAGACTATTTTTTTGTTTGCCTTTTCCCTTTTCTGTTGCTTTACTCTTTTGATCACGTTTTTAAATCCCAATTTCTTGCTGCCCAACCAGTGTTTCATGTATTCTGGTAAAAATATATTTTTACCCCTACTGAAAGTTGAGATTTTGGGTGTACTTTTTATTCTAAACATTTACCATTTAAAGAATTGGGTCTTAAAAGGTGTCTGATACTTCTCAGAAGCCAGCAACTTTTACTTTCCCTTTTGTCCTGGTTTCCCTCTCCCCCTCTTGGTGCCTTACAGTGGAAACTGTTTGGTTTGTTAGCAAAATTTGCTCATGTATATCAGATACAAATTCATGACTTTTCCTCTCAGGTGTCTGGGTGTCTGAGTAGTCACAGACACCTCTGTGATATTGTTTTTCAAAGAAAACCAAAGAGATGCTATATGTCTGAATATTTTCTTCATTAGAAATGCCATCAGGCTTTCACTCTATTTACTTTTGCTTTACCTGTACGTTTGACATCTTTACTTGTAATAAAAGGTGAGTAAGAGGTCTTAGTGATGCTAGACCTGATTGATATCCTGACCACGGTACAGAGGAGACAGAAAAATTGTTGATATACAAAAGAACTCATAAAACATACCAATTTTGGGCTATTTTGTTTGGAAGCCAGCAATGCCTACCCTAGGGGACCACCAAGATACGCTGTCAGTCGAGGGGCCTAGGAAGAAGTGAAAAGAGCATTGTAGGACTTGGCAGACCAGGTCTAACTCATCCACACTGGTGGCCACAAAAGAATCATGTCCACGGAAGAATTATGTTTGGTGGACACCATGTTATTTTAATTTTAATGTAATTAGTTGCCAATGTTTAAAAAATGGGACATATTACACAGAATCTGAATTTTGAGCTTTTCTTAAAGAATAGGAGGCTTTCTCCACTTTGGGCCTGAATTCAAGCAAGGCAGTAAACTGCTAGAGCTGTTCTTTTTGGACATAGTGTGTAGTATTTCCAGTTTACTAAAGTTCCCACCAGTTCTCTTTGGTTATTTACATAAGCCAGCTTTGACTTTAAGCAGAGATACCCTTGGAGGACAGTAGAAGTGATGGGAAGAGGTGGAAATGTTCACAATCTAGATGATATGTAAGGTTTTTCCAGTCCTTATTCAAAATATCTATGGACAATAATTCTAAGTCACCTAAGACAAGGTTGAAAGTGTATTTCACATCTGGATCTGCTCTTGGTGGCTCAAAACCTGCATTTTCATCTGCCTGCTAGACATTGGGAGTGGCTATCTCCATATCTTGAATTCTTCCTTGAGACTTACTGCATTGTTTGCAGATGGACCCAACTTGTGTTATCTTGCCTGAGCCTCTTTGGAAATGTTCTCTTCATCTGGACTGCCCTTTGCCTGGCCTAACATTGCTCATCCTTTTGGACTAATGTAACCTCGTCGTATCTTTTATCAAATCTTCAGTGCTGAGTTGGAAAGTCTGTATTTTCTTTTAGCACCCTAGCGTAGCACTTAACAATGAATTTTCGGTTTCTATATATTTGTCCCCCTACCCCTGCTCCTCCCCAACTAGATTGGAGGGTCCTTGAGAACAAGGATGACATTTTAACCCTAATTTTATCCTCCATCCATGCCGTGCCTGACACTTAATATGCACTTAAATTTGGATGAATGGATGAGTGAATACTCAAACTAAAGTCATCACCTCCATCCCTTGTACCTACCATTAAAAAAAATCTTCCTCTTAATTAATGACTTTATTTCTGTATTTTATTTGAGTGGTTCAAAACTTTGGAGTCGCCTCTGAGTTCTTTCTTTGCATTACTGCCCACATCCAGATTCACTCCCCTTTGACATGTTCTTTTGATCTATTCCCTCTTATTCAAAATGCTCTGAGTTCTTTTTCTCAGACTACTGGGGCAGCCCCTTAACTGACCCTCACCTCTCCTTTATCTACTTTTTAAATTTCAGAAGTGATAATACACTTCTGAACATGTCACCCTTTTGTTCAGAACTGTTGATGTCTTTTGAGGGCATAGGATGAAATGCATATTCTTTAGCATGAAATTGATGGTGATAGATGATATGGCTTTATCCTGCTCTTCTGACTAGGCTGTCTGCCATAATCTTTTATATTCTTTATGCTTCAGCCAGTCTGGACTACTGCTTTCCCTGAATATGCCCAGAATGTCTTGTCGTATCTACAACTCTAAGTCCTATCTTTTTTATTGCACAAATTTATGATGATGCCCATTGCAGACCAACTATTGCTCTCAGCACTAAGGATAAAAAGGTAAATGATATCATGCAGAAGTGACAAAGTTAGAACATGATGGGACGTGGCAGAGGATGAGTGTGGAGAGGAAACTGGTTGATAGAGAATTTTTTTGTATGTTAAGCTAAGGAGTTTGAATTTTATCTTGAGGAGATAGAAGTCATTGAGGAATTTTAAATAGGGGAGTAACATCAGATTTGAATTTTGGAAAATTCACTTTAATTCACTTTGGGCATGGAATAGAAAATGGATTGGAGAAGACGAGACCCTAGGTGAGGACAAGAGTTAGAAGGCTAGTTTAGTAGTCCAGGTAAGAAATGATTTGCATTTGAACTAAGAGTGCATTTGAACTAGGATGGACATGTGGGGTGAATTTTATTTGAGATGTTTAAAAGGCAGAATTGAGAGACTCGCTGAGTGATTGAGGGAAGTGGTAGGGGAGCAGAAAGAGTCTTAAGCTTTTGATTTGAGTGCCTTTAGTTAGGATAGAGAAGGTAGGAAATCCTGTTATCGGGGTGGGGACAGCAGCATAGCAGGACAAGTTGTCGACATGTTGACTTAAGAGCCCTTTCAGGTTATCCAGGTGGACTCGTCAAACTGGCAGTTGGTTGTTGGTATCTGGTGAAGCAGATTTGGGACTTCTAGGTAAAGCCATAGGAATAGATTAAGCCTGTTCTTACACAGGCTTACACATGAGTGTTCATGGCAGCTTTGTTCAGCAAAAAAGTAGAAACAACCCAAATGTTCGTCAACAGATAAACAAATACCCGAACTGTGGTATTGCCATATATCGGGATACTACTCAGAAATACAAAGAATGAGGTATTGATACACATGACAACATGGCTGAATTTCAGAATAATTAAGCCAAATGAAAAAATCCAGACTTTGAAGAAAAGTATATACTGTATAATTCTATTTATATGAAATTCTAGAAAATGAAAACTAATCTACAGTGACAAAAAGCAGGTCAGTAGTTGTTTGGAGGG